AATCGATTAAACTGGCAAAAAAGTGATATACATTTAAATCACAACGTTTCGAGTTTCGATCTCTTTGTTGTCGAATCCTTTTCAAGTGCAATCTGGAAACAAAATTCAAAAGTACAAACCACAACTCCTAAAATTACCTTCCTTTTATCTACTTTTTGACTGTTTTTTTACTCTTTCACTTAATTAATTAATTAATTTCTTTGACTTGTTATCTCACTATTTATCTATTTATTTATTTATCGTTACTCGTAATAATTCCAGACATGATATTATTAATTTGCTACCACAGACTCATGAACTTATTCTGTTTCGGCATAAATTAATTTGTTCAGTCAACATTAGGTACTTTTTCTTCTTTGTAACACATATTTATGTGCATACTAAAAGTTCCTTTCTTTGCATTGTGGTTCGTACTTTTGAATTTTGCTTCCAGATTGTACTTGAAAAGAATCCGATAAAGAGATCAAAACGTCGTGACTTAAATATATATCACTTTTCTTGCCAGTTTGGTCGATTTTTAAAAAACTTTCTCCTTGTTTTATTATCACTGGCGACAATGAGCCTCACTCGATTTGGTTAATTCTCATAAAGTTCTTCAAAATGCCGTGTCCCACGATTGCATAATTTCCAAGATAAACTTTCAGAAAAAATTCTCTCCATACAAGTTGTAACATAAGATAAAATTTAACGAGTAAAAATGTTATTATCTCCAGAGAGAAACTCGCGATTTATTAATCGAGCCTCTTAGAAGGCAAACTGATCGTCTCAACGACGTAAAAAGTACAAAGAATGAAGCTATTTTGTACCGAATTAAGAAATTTATAAAAAGTCACGCCGGTCGGTTATTAATTGTGCAAATTCCGAGAAGGAAGAGATAAAACGTTATTCGTGATAATAAATTTATGATTATACATATAAACCATGTCGGTCGATATTCACGATATTACTCGCGGTTGTGCCGCGAGACATGGTCTTTGCTAATATGCTGCTAACGTCGAGAAATATCACGATAGTTTTCGTACTCCAAGCCGATACTTCCTCATGTTATAAAGTGCATCGTGCGCTCTTAACGTTTATGTGCGCGTGCAAGACATTATAGTGCCTGAATGCTATAATAATTAACGGTGCAAAGAGTCAGCTCCGTGTCGGATAAGATCAGACAAGAGACCCCTAATAGCACAGAAATATTTTCAAAGATTCAATATATTTTAAAATATTAATAACTATTTAAAATAAAGTATTTTAAAAAGATTTTAAAATATATTTAACCTTCTAAAATATTTCTGTGCTATTAGGGACGGCTTTACTTTTAGTCATCTTCAGTAAATAAATGGATAAACAAAAAGAAAAACATAAAATAATACAATTAATATTATGTTATTAATGTAAAATAATACAAGAGTACAACACTATTGAATTTGTCATTGATTTAAGTATCGCAGCGATTCAACGATATCGTGCAAGAGCGAGATACGGAATAACGCGTGTAAATTGCAAGAAAGTAAGAAAGTGTATGCTTGAACCGATCGCAAAAATGGCGGACGTCGCGCTGAATAAAAATTAACGTATACCCGGTAGCTCGAACTTGAAGATTGTACCGAAGTCACGATTCTTCCTCGCGTACGGCAACCCTCGGGCGATGCACGTGTCTTCGCATTCTCTGGCGAACGAGAATAACCAGACTAATGAGTCGATTCTGGAACAACTTTCCTTTCGATTAATGTACCGTATCGATCGGCCGACGAGAACAAAGTCGCGACTTTTGATCCTCGATCCCCCTATTCATCAGAAGTCCAGCGTACTTTCATCGCCGATATCTCTTAATCCAGTTTCTTTAGAGCAAAAGAACGCAAGAGGAATATTGTTCTGCGGTCGTAATATTAAATGTGCTTCATTGACGTTTTTATCGATACAATATGCACACGTAGCATGCAGATTTAATGGATTCTCATAACGTATTCGTATTCAGGAGAGTCACTGAAGTTATGTCATCGCAAATATAATATATTGTATAATATTGTATAATTTTGCGCTACATTATTCATTCGCGTGTAATCGATTGCGTAATGCCTTAATTATATGGATTCCGTACGCGTTTAAATTTAACATCAATATACATCGCCTCGCGAAGGAACAGCCGTGTAAGAATATCATCGGAATTCCGGAATTCCGGAATTCTTCGATTCGACAGACCATAAAACATCGCTCATTTGCACCCGCCGGAACAAAATTTCCATCGATTCGAAACTTAAACTTACTGACAAGATCCATAAACATTTGCATCAAGACTCGATCTTCCAGCTCTAAAATGTATTGTTCGGCTTCTTTGCTTTAACAATTATACTTCGTACAGAAAATAATTGCGATGCTAAATAACACCTTAAACGCTTTATGCCAGTCTATTCGTGAAAGCATTTGTAAAATGTAGTACAGTATCGTTTCTTTGAATATATAAGATATTATTTAAACTTGGGGGATGAAATAATAAAATATTAATTTTCGAAACAAGAACAAGCGTGTTAAAGGATTAACGATAAAAATTCTTATTTGTAATTTGTACTGTGTCGAAAATTAACGACATGCACCCAGGAAAAAGATTTATTTAACAAATGAGATACATTGAAATCATGTTTCTTTGAATTCACTAAATTTTTCTTACTTCCACTAAAACATTTGCTAGATTTGAAAAAATATATATGAATTTTCTTAGAGATTTCAGTCTTAAATCTTTTTCCTGAGCGTATGTCATCAATTTTTTGATACAGTACAAATTGAAAATAAAACAGTTCTTATCGTTTGTCTTTTAACACGTTTGTTCTGTTTCTAAAGATAATATTTTATTATTCAGTCCTAATCAAATACAATTTCGGTCAAGGTAAATAAAGCATCTTTTCTTAAATTAAATAACAGTCTAATGAGGTCAAAATTCTAAGAAATTTGTTTGATTTCCTTGCAACTTGTTTATCTAATTCTCGCCGGCTAATTTTTCTCGACTTACTATCACATTATTTTCGAGGCGCCGGATTCATTTATAACGTAGCGACATACTCGCAGGAATCCGAAAGAGATCTGACGTGGTAAATCCTCGACGTGACGGTAAATACTCATCCTCCACTTCGTGACGCGAGTGTCACGAACGGTTTAGAAAGTAGTAGCCCCCCCGCGCCGCAAGCGGCAATCGTGATACGAGGAAAGTCAGCTGGCCGATAAAAATTGGGTAAAAAAAGGACGCGTTGAAAAATCACATCAAGTTTCACTGGCCACGGACGATTCAGACTCGTTTCTAAAGCCATCGCGATCGTCCAATCATCCTCTCTAAGCCGTTGATCCTGAACGTCGCGCGCCGACATTGTCTCTCAATCACACTTGTGCCCGTTTTAAGATCGCACAGGACGTTCGCTGTATTTATTATGTATTCATAAATTATTAATACATTTTATTACGCTTTAACGCGTGCCTTTAAAATTAGAACATTCCGCATTCTAAGTTTAGCTTCAATTTTAAAACGAGATGCCCAAATTAACGATAGTTTCGTATTTTGACGACAATTCTCTCAGAAAGGATTTCTGATAACAAGGCAAAAACTTATTACAATCTCATACAGTAAAAAGTAAAACAATACAAGTTTAAATTGAATAAGATTGTTTAGAATAAATCTTCTCTCCACGTGTTATAATACGGATTTAAGAATTTTCCATTATCGTTAAAATATTCCTTAGCCAATAATAAATATAATTGTCGATATTGATCCTATTTTATGATAGACGAAACGTAGTACACGGAGAGAATTTGCCCTTAAAATTTATTCTGAAAATCATGCGATCGTGGGACAACGTGGCATTTTAAACAACTTTATGAGAGTTTTTTGGAAATTTTACCATACATTTCAAAAGTTTCCAAATGTATGGTAAAATTTCAAAAAGCTCTCGTAAAGTTCTTCAAAATGCCATATGTTGCCCCACGATTATACTTGGTATACATTTTACTAGTAAAATTTTAATATTAACGCGTTTATTGTTTCGTATATACGTAGCAATTTATAATCTCCTTAGAAGCATTTAATAATTTTACCTTCCAACAATATTACAGTCTTATTTATGTATTATAATTGTCACTTCAAGAATAGTTTGACAACAAAGTGATTTTAATCATTATAGCCTTCGATTTAAAAAAAATCGTTATTTTCTATTCAATATTATTTCCTCTCCATTAAAGAAAATTATTCTTAAATAATAAGCGTACATTTTTCTTGATTAAATTATGTAAAATTGCTTCATTCAAGCAAGTTTTTTCCTTTACGCGATATAATCTCACATTTAAAGCATATTTACAAGAGAAGAAAATTCTCTCCGTGTGTCATTGTGGCAATGGAAATGTTTTCTGTGGGTGAAGCTTTCTATGTATATTTCTCTCTCTGCCTATTTCTCGAAGAACAGGTGGCTGGCAGAGATGTAATTTTACTCTACAAAGTTACGTCTTTATAAAGTGACAAAACAAAAAATAATAAAGCTCCGTACCACCTAATTATTATCATAAGGGCAGTCATGACGTAACATCTCCGTCTATCTTAAAAGAAAGACGTCGAAATGTCTTGCCTCGCAATTTGCGAGGAGCGATGTAATGACGCGCCACAATGAATTAGCGGCCGCCTCGTAATTACATTAATTACGTTGCTTTACATAATAGCGATACATTGTAACGCCGGAGCTTCCGCGTTGGGATATAATGGGAGACGATAATGTACAATACGTGAGAAGAGTCTCGGTTAGAAGCTGCTTATACATATACAGTGGCGTGATTAGATCTGCAAAAGGAAAACTACAATTCCTATTCTAGACTGGGTAACTTTTAAGTAAGATACAAATTTCGATCAGGAGCTATTCCTGGTCGCGGAAGAAAATCGCCTCGCGACTTTCGTAACAAGCGGACTGACGGATGCGTGAAGAGTGTAGCAGCCCGGATGGTCACGGGGTCACCCCGAGTGGCGCCGACCGATCTTTTTTCTCTTTCCCGCCGTGCCCCGGTGTCATCCGTGTAAGTTACTCAATCGTGCGGTGAATTATGCGTGCCGCGTATTGCGGTTCACGCGTGCAGACGTGGATTCGCCAAGAGCCGAGCACTTTGCCGCCGTGTTTTCGCATACCTTCGCACGAGTGTTGATTCGGCTTGATCTCGATTTTCCATTTTCTATGTCGACTCATTACTTGTGAACATGTAAATTTATTGTTAGGTTGTGAGATCGTTGCAAAAAAATGGATGTTGAAAACCTACTATCTCATATTAGAATCCTATGTCGTAATAGAGGATTTTTCTCTATGTCTAAAAGACGACTTAAAGACATCTCAAAGATGTCTTAAAGATGTCTTTCAGACACACATGCTATGTGGGTTTACGTGTGTATATCTGTGCATACATTTCTTAAATCAGTCAACTAATTTTCAGTCCTTTAACTTCGGCTCTACATTGCGCGAATGGCACGGCGTAAAGTGAAACGCTTTGCAAATATACCTTTTGATCGCGAAATATTGGTTGCATCGACGCTGCATAACAGTGCAGCGTGAGATGAAAAGGAAAACGGCTGCTTTTGAAAGGATGTGTTTTAGAGAGGAAAATTGCGTAGGTGAGCATAGCGAGGGCACATTAACGAGGTGCTCTCGCGAGTAGAAAAGCGCTTTCGCAAGGGACTTTGCACAATCAGACTGGATAGCAACCAAATCCGTGGTGTTCGCGTCGAGAGTGTATTCTCCCTTTCGTGTCTCTCATCGGGAAATTATGATAGCCTACGCGTACGTCGCCTCGGCGAAGTATCGGGACGGCCGAGAACACGAGCCGTTGATGTAAGAGCGAGTGACGAGAGTTCGGGTGTCGCAAGGGGTTTTGTAAACGTCAACAAGAAAAGGGATTACTCGCCGGGATCACTTGGCAATTGTTGATTATGTCAATATTATGATAAGATTGAATCGACACGGGGACAAGAGGTCCAGTAACGTTTTGTTAAGATGTCATTAACCCCTTCACCTGCTGGATTACACAGATCCCGCGATAAAAGTACACCCTGAGAGTACTTGGTGGTTTTATTTTCTAAGGAGATGTTTGGAAAAGTAGACAAAAGATCAATGCACTCAGCTTGCTGAAGAACCGTGAAAGGGTTAACGAGAGAGGACATTTCGTATTATTCTGAAATTGTAGTGCACGTCATACACTCGCTACGCACATATTTTCTCAGCAATGTAATCTCGATAAATATTTTCAACGATTACCAATTGTACGGCTATACTTGTTGTTTATATTGAGGCATTAGTTTTTTAAAGAAAGCTTCGATTTATTCCACGTGGTATATTCAACATTATTTGACAAATACATGAAATAATACGACAACAATTATGAAGTGCACAGGATGGAATATATTTGCCGGAGTATTAATTCGACTCTGTGTAAAAGAGAAAGGTTTTCCGATTTAAGAGCTTTGAAAGTGAAATTGTGGAGCGAAAGTAACGTAATAGCAAATATAAAATTAAGATTGATACGCTAAAAGAAAAGAAAATACGTTAACGACGCTGTCTTCAATTTGCTCGACGCCTTTGTTACTCGACATTGTATCTTTCCTCCAGTCTCATCCGCCAGAATCGGTCATTATATTCATATTCCGCAGTCTTTTACCTCGTTAAATGTTGCCTGCGGCTCTCATAACCCATCAACCTCTATTCCAGCGAGGTATTAACTTTCTTAATCTGGACACTCCATTTCACGCGGTATACATTTAATAGGCGTGTATGCCGCCGCGTCACTGGGCACGTTAATTGCGGCCATGCACAATAATTCTTGGGCTTTCATTAATTAACAGCCGCGCGCGAGGAAAACGGTACGGGCTTGTCGCAGGGTGTCGTTCCATCGTGGATTAAAAAACTTTAGTGTTTCTTACTTCCTAAAAATAAGTTTTTTACTTAGTATGTTCAGTGTCAAAAATTTATAGCGAAAGTCTAATTTAATCTCTAAAGCACGACTTAAAACAATTGTTACAAAATTTGCTATTAGGCGTCACATTCCGTGTCCTGTGTTATTCTCACTTTTCGACCAAAGAAGAAAAATAACAGTAACTTCAGGAGATTATTTTAACTTCTGTGACATCGAAAAGTATTATCTATTTTTTAAAATGACTAAAAGAAACTTTTTCATCCAAAATACTGATTTTTTGCATTTAATTTTTAAAAAACTCCGTTTTTTATCTCTAGGAAAATAACCAATTATAAGAAGAAAAAAAGAAAATGTGTATTTACATTCCTAAAAATTGGACTGCGTCGTCCGATTTCCTTACGTTATTAATCTAAAACAAGGCATTCTTATGGTCGCGTTTTGTCGTCAACATGAATATTGATGATTATATTATAATGCGAAAATGCCATTCATCTTCACGTCGAGTCGTATACGTCAGCGCGAACGCAAAGAGCGCCTCATTGTCTTCGTAATGTGTTGACAGTGGTAAAAGAAGGAGCTGCGAGTCTTTGATGTACGACGACTGATGAATATGGATGCTGTTGAATTATACATTTAGCGAGTTCAAATCACCGTACTCTATTCCCGTATATTTGGTGACACAAGTTTGTTAAGCTGGATAATAAATTCGGCATTCAATTTTTGCCGGTATCCTTTACGTAAACTTTCACGTAACTCGACAGTCTTTATTTTAATTAGAACTTATTTTAATATCACAGGCACACGAAAAAAAAGGTCTTGTCCACCAGACGAGATAAACATTTCTATATGTTTTTGGGGTCGCTGAATCCGAATCCGGGGTTGGTTTGACTCGGTCAGGTCGCATTTCGTTCCTAACCTCAAAAAAATGATGAAAGTTGGAACATTCATGAAAACACCCAGAAAGCAAAGCGATTATATGTTTTGGGGGTCGCTGAGTCCAAATTTGAAGGTCATTTGACTCGGCGAGGTCGCATTCCATTCATAACCTTGAAAAAAATAAATTTTAACATCGAAAACTGTCCCTGACACGTGAGAGAAAATTTTCTTTTATTTTTCCCTCTGATATCTTGTTCTTTTATTCTCAAAGGACCTATGCAGGGGGTTTCTGTGACGTTTCACCTCTTTTTGAACAACTTCTCTTTGCAATGTCCAACAGTAATCTGCTAACATATTATTCACATCCCACCTTCCCTGATACCTACGTTCCATCTCCTTTATGTCTTGATGGAATCTTTCTCCCTGCTCCTCACAATCCCCCAAATTCATTGGAAAGTAATCTATGTAAGAAGGGCAACTTTAGGTTCATCAAACAACCAAGCTTTCGAAAGTTTTTTACCAGATCAGCTACTATTTTCTTGAAGTTTTCACTTTTATGGTTACCGAGAAAGCTTTCCACGACATTTTTTAAACTCGTCCACGCAGCTTTTTCTATTTTGTTCATAACTTTGATGAAATTCTGATCGTTCAACATTTTGCGGATTTGTGGGCCATCAAAAACACCCTCATGCACTTTTGCGTCTGAAATATTCGAAAATTTTTTCTGTAAATATTCGAAACATTTGCCTTCTTTGTTAAGAGCCTTAACAAATTGCTTCATGAGACTCAATTTAATATGGAGAGGAGGTAAAAGTACTCTGTCTGGATCGACTAACGGGGTTTGCTTAATATTTTGCAAACCTGGCTTGAAATTCTCGTTGGCCATTCTTTGCGAGTATAGTGATTCTTTCTATCCCTACTATCCCACAAACACAAAAAACATGGATTTTTTTTTGTAAAACCTGATTGTTGCCCTAATACCAAACCTAAAATTTTCGAGTCCCCGCAAATTTTCCAATTAAATTCTGAATACTTGATCTTTTTCAAAACAAATTCGAGATTTTGGTGAGTCTCCTTGAGCACAGTTAAATGAGCTATCGCTATAGGAGCGAACTTATTCGTGTTGTGAAGTAATAGTCCCTTGAGACTTCTTTTAGAAGAATCAATAAAAAGTTTCCACTCCTCATCCTTGTAAACACCTGGTTTCAGTTCATCCATTAACCCTTGCACATCGTTACAATACACCAGCGATGGGTCGTCTATTTTCGTGAAGTATTTTCTAAATTTTTCTTCTCTGTTTCGGAAATATATTTAATCAAAGGCCAAAGTTTTTTCTAACGTGGATGAAATTAATCAGTTTTGCGGATTTGTGCCTGCAACTATTTTTTTTAAATTAAAAGCGGTCTCAATTTCACTTGGACGTCGTCAAGTTGTGTAAATCAACTTTAGTTTCATAGTATTATACACTTACAATTAGGGGATCAATTGGGTTTCCTAATTTTATTCCGCTCGACAGTATTTGACGTGAAAGCATTATTGAGGGATTCCTCGAAAGCACATTCATTCCATCGGCTTGTGAATTCAGGTTAGATAAAAAAAAAGAGATTACGAGAAAACGCGGCTCGTTTTTCCTTCGATGTTTTTAAAGCCGAGCGGAGTGTCGCTCTCCGGAAGATTGGCAATCGGAGCGATGATTAGGGAAACTATAGAACGGTTTTTGTGCGTTTGCTCTACGAACGCGTTTTGCTAACGGCTTTGTTGTGCCGTTTGCTCTCCTAGAAAGTGGTTCGCCTCGCATTCGTCCTGGTGACGAATGACAGTCATTAGTAAAACCATCACGAAGCGCCGGCACTTACGTGTCGCACGAGATCAATCCGGAAGTCGTAATTCGATCCGCCGCATTGATCGGTTTGTCCCGTTCTAAAATCGAATCGAGCTAAAACGCTAATTAATCGAAAGTCGCGCGCTCCACATTTCAGTAATAATTCATAAAAACAGTTTTGCGAGTCGAAACCACCCATTGAAATGGATATCATTCTATACCTAATGTAAAATAATCGTTTTTTGTCACAAAAATTGTATAGGTATACGCTTTAAGTTACGCATATAAAACTAAGTGATTACATTTAGAGAAAAGATTTTCGGATTCAATACTAATGTATGTACGTACAGTCTTATTAATACTTGGACCTGCATTTTTATCATCATTTTTCTCATCTACATACGAGTATATAAATCACTGAGTTTCAGGTTGCATCCCACATAACGTCCTGCGTATATGCACTTTTCCTCCACGACATGGAAAAATGTCCTGTATGTGAAATGTATATACATCTCATATACATAATTTGGACATACATTGCAGTACATAATATGTACATTCGCGGATGAATTCAATATGTACAGGTTGTACTAAAACCACCGGATATCCTTTTCATCGCAGATTCGTTAGGAAATTTCAAGACAAAAATTCTAATACAAAAATGTCGAGGCTATAATAGTTTTCAAGTAATAAGCGAGTACATTTCACCAATGACAGGCCTGAGATTGCGCGCGCTCAGGCACGGCGATATGAGTGTTCCTATAAATCCTTCTTATTTAATTCAAGAAAAATTTGCAACGTGTTGTAACTTTTAAGTGTTGCAGCTGTCAAAGTGATCGATCAATATCAATTATCATGAAGGTCGTTACTGTGCCAAGAAAGGCGACATTCATATGAATACTTTTATCACTCGTCATGTCGCCGTGCCTGAGCGTGCGAAATCTCAGGCCTGTCATTTGTGAAATATAATCGCTTCTTATTCAAAAACTACTACAGCCTTGATATTTTTGTATTAGAATTTTTGTCTTGAAATTTTCTAAAGAATCTGTAATTCAAAGAGGATATCCGGTGGTTTTAGTACACCCTGTATA